CCCCAAAACCCCAAAACCCCAAAACCCCGTTAGGAGAGAGTATAGTTGAATAGAAGGTATAATACAGGTGGAGGTGGTACAAAGATAGCCAAGAAAATTAAGAGAACATTTTTAGAAGATAAGGCTAAGGTAAAGCTATCTGCAACAGAGTAAGTACTGCCTCCACTAAAGATTTTACAATAAGGAGCTTAGTAGCATAGTTTGTTCAAAAGTCTAGGTTAACCAGCACAAAATAAAGCCTAAAGAGTATATAGGCAACCTTAGCTTGTATGAAGGAAATAAAAACAATACTTAAGAAGTTAAAGAGCCCTGGCTATTCAGCTAGGCAAAGATGATGGCATAGGGTTGATGAATCAGGGATATAGTTTAAGAGAAGGATATGTAGAGCGCAGATGAAGAATAAAAAGTAGTGAACCACCTGAATCCAATAGCTTGCGCCAAACTTGCTAGCCCTACTTCACTCAGATGGTATGAATACAAACTATGATACAAATATTTATCTTCCCTTTCTTTATCCAAGAGCTGGTATTTCTTGAAAGATACTAAATAAGGTATGAAAAAAGTCATTACTCTCACTATCCAACTTTAAACTATCAACTACCTCCTATCACTCATCCTTCGCCTTTACAACAACCTCTCACAACATTCAGCTCCTAAACCCCCCATAACCACCCAATCCAGGCCCCAAAGACCCCTAACACAACACTTCCCCCCTCCCAGTACCCCTTCTCCTCCTTATCCTCCCTATTCCCCCTTATTCCCCTCCTCCTCAAAATCCCCCAAAACCCCTCTACGGCTCCTCCAAAGCCCATTTAAAGCCCCATAAAACAGGATGGAGAATTTGGCCTAAATTAGCCTTTAAAGGCTAGTTTTTGACTGTAATTTGGAATATGAGAGGATTACGAAGAAATTTACCGGGAAATGTTGAGGTCTGAGTGGACTATAAGGGTGAAAGGAAGGATTACATGCATGTTTTATTTAATATTGTATTTTTAGAGGAGAAGAGGAGGGGTTTTGGGGTTTTGGGGTTTTGGGGTTTTGGGGTTTTGGGGTTTTGGGGTTTTGGGGTTTTGGGG